TGTGCCTACCTTTTTCACTGTTGGTAAAACATAAGGTTTCCCACTATCATCTCTGTAGGCACCAACACCAAGGTTAATTTTCTCAGGCTTTGTGTCTTTTTTGAATGCTTCTGTTATTCCAAGAATGGCATCCGGGGGACCAAGTTCCACATGCGCCCAGGCACTATTTAAAGGACCATCGATAAATAAAACAATTTATTCAAGCAAACCGTCATTCAAAGCTAAGGCATTCTAAGAGGATTCATTAATTTCAATCTACAAGTTTATTCTGCATGTCAGTTTGGATTTTTTCTACATGTGTAATATTTTCAAGGCTGTAAAAACATGGGGAAAATGTCTCTGCTAACTGAGCATTTCCTGTCCCCCTGGCTTTGACAGAACCAAGTCAACAACTGACTCTGTAAATAAAATTTTGTGGCAGACAACTTTAAAAGTATTTGATAGTTCACTTTGCCCTGCAACAAAATTTGTCAACGAGTTTTGATATTAATTAGCAGTTTGCTATATCAACAATGTAAGCATTAGACAAATCATAACATCTTTACATTGTTGTTGATTCAAGGGATAATGTATTGATTCACTCTCGACTGGCTTTGGGTTCAGTCTCTTTTTTTTTTTTTCAGGATTGTACCCACTGAGCACTCAGTGAGAAAACAAAAGAACACCATGCAGTAAAATTAAAATTAGCCTGATTATGTAGAGGCTCTACGTGGTGGAATATCCCTTTCTTTCGTTAGGATTATGCACTGTGTATTAGACAGGTTCCCACACAGACACAGTATAGATGAAAAAAAGGACAAAACAATTTTATTATTTTCACTTTCATAGAAGATGTCCAATTACATGAAACCTGCAGGCAGAGCATCTTTCTGCCTTCTTCTTGATCAAGGAAGAGAAAAGCAAGCTTTACCTGAAACACGCTACCCTGCGAATGCTACCCTGCGAGCAGAGGCCCTTCGATCTTCCTTTCTTAGCAAGATCGAAGGGTCTCTGCTCGCAGGGTAGAAAGATTACCGAAGTTATGAGCACGAGAGTCTGGCAGGTCCTCTAACTAGATCACAATAAGACTAAGACAAGCAAGTAGCTTGGTAATGCACTTATCGGCGGCCATCCCAGGGGGGTGACCCAGGGGAACCCCTGGTCATTTGCACAATGGAGTTTACAAATCCCCCTAATCAAAACCAAGACTGTTTAACAAAAAGCTACTAACAACCCTCCCCTGGGGGCAAAGAAGTGTGCTCTGCCAGGTCAAAAGGTGCAATATTTCAAAAGAGTTCTATTCAAGGAATCGTAGTTTTCTTCCGAAAACTATAGTCGCTATGTAAGTGAAGAATGGCCAGCTAAAAGGAACAGAATACAAGGGAACATGAAGGTCGTTTACCGTCTTTTGCTGTCACCATTTTGCCAGAACATGTTCACCCACATAGCCAGTCCTTTTGCAGACGGGAATGGCACTTATTTCTAGCCCCATTGCAAAATGGTGGCAGCACTACAAATCCCGTGGGTCTTCCCCTGGGATCCTGCTACAAAAGTGCAAAAGCATTCCCGTCCCCCTATTCCGGGCTTAAAATTAACGACCAAAGTTGACAAATCNGAATGGCACTTATTTCTAGCCCCATTGCAAAATGGTGGCAGCACTACAAATCCCGTGGGTCTTCCCCTGGGATCCTGCTACAAAAGTGCAAAAGCATTCCCGTCCCCCTATTCCGGGCTTAAAATTAACGACCAAAGTTGACAAATCCCGTGCTATGCTCGCGAATGTCCCCGGGGTTACCCTCCCGGGATGGCCGCTGATAAATGCATAATGTCACTGGGCAAGGAAAGTTTGAAAGCTACTTTTCCAACGGAAAAAACTGAAATTCAAGTTTCTTTTTCGCCCCTTGCTCTTGAGGGCCACAAGATCTCCTTCTACCGAGGAGAAGCCGCAAAGAGACCAGTACCCTGGATAACTGTTTAGTATTCTAAACAATATTAAAAGGTTGGATATTCTACGAGCAATCTTTACTAAGGAGACATAAAACAAACCTTAATCTTGATGATGATATCAGGTACACCCTCGCATGGTTTGATTTTACACAAAACTGACTGGCAAACCGGTGTAAAGCCATGGCACCGTAAGCAGGTTTTAAAAGAGCAATCTGATTTGGAACGGGTGCGCAGAACCTGTAGAAGAATATGCGCTTGAGTGAGCAAGGGCCGCGGCAAGGCATCCTGGGATATCAAACAAGGGCGCCTTGCACAAAACTGTTTGTTTCGTTATCAAAAATTGAACGCGATCGTCGACGTCGTTTTAATCTCCATGATTGTCATCAATATCGATTTTTGCACAGAGTCTCACTATGTGGCTGCTACATGTATGAACGTAAACTGAGCGCCGGGCATTTACGGGATACAAAAAGTTAAGGATGGTCATGGGTCCCATTAAACATCTCGCACCCACGGGTGCGACAAAGGTAAAAGGAGCTTAGTTCCAAGTAAAATTACGGTAATTAACGTTGTATTTTGTACTATCTCCAACCGTCTCAACTTACAGTTGCCTCTGAGGGTCTCCAATAGCCGATTCGTTCATCAATTCCGGCCAAAATTTTCCTTCGATCATGTATATTTCGACTGTTTTAAAATCAGCCAGTCCCGTTCCCGAACACCCCCTTAAAAAGTGCCTTGTGCTGGCTCAAGCTTCACTCGGAGAACCTGAGCATAAAAAAGTGGAATAAAAAAGTTGTATGGTCAAGGTGCAACAATACCGGTTCTTTGCAGCAAATTTACTCAATCTGCCCTAATGAACTCGCTTAATCCTGTATGCCATTCATATATGTAATATTACAATCCAGAATATTGCTCCCCTTTTTTTCTAATGACAAATCCTGGCCTTTAATTAAGCCATAGTTTGTTGATTGGAATGGTTATGAAACCTGTCAGAAGCCTTCGTTATATGTTTTTGTACTCCTGACGGTGCACAACATTCAATAGCATTCCTAACATTTTGATTGTATTGACCAATAAAAAATGTCGCATTAATTTATTCCATTACAATTTGCCAAAAGAAAACAAAGGTTTGTGCACGGTCAGAGAGCTTCCATCATAAACTTTATCAATCGTTGTTTTCGTAATTGATGTAGGCCGCCTTTCATAACCAGACTCCTCTAATAACTATGATTAAGCCATATCCCTGATCCCAAAACACCTATTGGAAAGCCTCATTTCTCAGCGGAGAGTTAAAATTTTGGAAAATTCTCAGGTTTTAACAATGTCATGCAAACACTCAGAGGTAAACACAAGTTTGTGACTTGTCTAGTGGGAAATGACATCATTTCCTATGTTTAATCGATATTTATTAGCTTAGAGGAGGGTAATCTTGTTCTCAGGGTCTCTCTTCTGTTCTCAAACAACAGAGAGGGCAGTGCTTAGAGACTCTGGAAGTGATGCTGAAAAGAGGTGAATGACAGTGAAGTATATTGTACAAAAGAAATTTGTCTCTGTTGATGCTCCCAGCCTTCTCATTGTAAATCAGTTAGCCTGTGCCCAGATTCTGGTTAAGTCTGTCTACTGTGGATGCAGCACCAAAATCATCTCTTTTAAGTCCTAACTGTTTACCTCTGGACAATTCCTAGCTATCCCCTGAGTTCAATGCTGTAGCAGCTGGTCATAGGCTGTCTCCTCATTGGACAATTCCTAGCTATCCCCTGAGTTCAGTGCTGTAGCAGCTGGTCATAAGGTGTCTCCTCATAGGTCACAATTAACAAATAACACAAAATAGTCTTAATTATGATTAGGAGAGTTGCTTCATGACCTCCTGAGTTCCCTTTCTAATTTAATCCTTGGGTGTACAGAGGTGGATCTAGGGGAGAGTGCACGGGGTGCACACCCCTTCCCCCCTCCCCAAGATGAGCTCTGGCTTTCTAATACAACTTGTATTCTTAAAAAAAAACCTATGTGGTTTATTGGTGTTAATTTTTCTTTTCGTTCTTTTTAAAAACATCGGAGAGCAAGGAGTACAAGGAAGGAAAATAAATAGTGTATTTCGTTTTCTCCCAACCCTACCCCCTTGTGCTGGCAGGCAATAAATCCCCCGCAGTTTACTTTTTATCACACGCGTTGACGGACTTTGAAGAGAAAATAGAGGGCCTGTGAACAGGCTAAAGTAAAACACAAGACAAGGTTGAAGAATTTATGCTAAGCACTATAAACATGGTAGTTTTGCATGTCACATCACCAGTCAGTTATTCCATTCCTTAGTGGTGCCCCCCTTGCTTAGAAAAATCCTGGATTGGCCCCTGGTGTAAATGAGGAGTTTGGGTGCAATCATAGGGTGTGTTCCTTTGGGATGATCCGGATCAGGATTAGTGATCAGAGATCACTTGGATGATAGTAGATCAAATGAACTGAATGCTTGTCCAGAGTGGATTCATTGGTTCATTTCATCTACCATGATCCAAGTGATCTAGGATCACTGAACCTGATCTGGATCATCCCAAAGGAATGCACCCATAGAGTCATCAAGTGTAAAAGTGTTGAACCTGAAAACTACATGACATATTGCCATGCCATAGTTAGTGTTTTATAGCAGTTATTGTTTGTCTCACACACAACTTTAACCAGATCATTTAACAGTTACTCCCACACCTCTTGTAATGCTGTGATCACATTTTTATAAGAAATTCGTCTACTCATATTTCCAACAAATTACATGAATCATTTTTTTCAATAAGTGGCTACAAAAGAGAAACTAGATTCCTGGTGACAATGTTTTAACAAGAAATCATAGTTAACATGTGCCTTGAAAGCTACCGAATATTGCATGTATAATCTGTGTAACAAACAGGCTCTAACCACAGTTTAACTACCAAGAATTGTGCCTTTATTGCAGAAAAAACGACGTTTTTGCTGTTGTTTACTAGTGAAATTTTATCTTTGCTACTTGCTTTTCTTCAGCTGATTCTACAAAACTGCAAACTGAAAAACGGAAAAATGTTCTCATGGAACGAAAACTTTACTGCAGCTTAACTCCTACCAAACTGTTTTTGTAATTCTCGGATCAGTTTTATGGCCCACTCAGCTCCACCTGCGTGTTGCTGGGCGATTGCAGCTGACATGGCGTAGTTGAAACCTTCAAAGTCAGGATAAAGAAAGTGCACGTTTTTATGAACTCCTGAACGATCTCCACAGTCAAACTTCCAGTTGACGACTTTGTCATCATGTTGATACGACCCACACCTAAGCCTTCCTTCCTCGCATATGAACATTGTTGTTTTGTCTTCTGCGCAAACCCAGTCCAGGATAAGAGCTTTTCTGAATGGAAAAGAGAATCAAAGTTGAAACCATTGTCACATATACCGCCACATAAAGCTAAACAACAGCTTCGAATTTTTTGTTTAGTTTTGTTTCCCGGAAATGATGTCCGGCTTCAAGCATAGATGACATCATCAATAAAACCAGTGGATATTATGTCTTATATTTCTATACTCGACATAAACTATTAGCATTTTACCTCCTTTTACCACCTAGCTTTTCCCAATCAGTAGTATTTTTTTTTCGGTTTTCATCCACTAAAAGGGCTATCAAAATTTTCCACTTATTTTTGTGTTTTCTAAGAAGTGTCACTCTATGCTGCTTTTTTTTGCCCCTATTAAAACTTGATTGTAATTCTCAAATGATTTATTTTTTCATCTAAAGATTCATGAACATTCGAGTAAAATTTTACCATTTTTCTCGAATTAAACTCTTGACTTTTCCCCTGGCGCTTATAACTTGCATGCAGTTGATGTTTTTTCTTGAAGACCCGACCGAGCATTCGATTATGTCTTCTCAATAGCGACATCGATATTACTATCACTTTTTCTCAACTTATGTATCTCAAAATATTTCTCCGCACTCTAATGAAATATGACTTGATGAAAAGCATATTTTGAGTTCATTAACTGATCAACTACACAAAGCAAAGAAGACCGAAACAGTTTGAAGTGAGCCTTCAGAAACTCTTTAGGAAAACATTCGATGTTGCCCCCACTTACCCTCTCGCAGAGTTTGAACAACCCGATATGGGACAAGCCATCTGTAACGCAAACCACTGTGGCATTTTAACTCTTCGTTTTTCTTCCTTGCAGAGTTTCTTGCTGTCTGGCTGGTCTCCTGCAATAACTGAGCGACTCTAACTTTGGTCTCTTTTTAGATGTTGTTTTTTTCTCCAATCAACAAGCGAGAATAAGGGGCTTCCCTTAAATGAATGTCAACAAATCGAGACCTCCGGAGTATTTTTGAAAGGGTTTTTTTTTTCTCGCTCCAGGAATGTAGTTCATGAGGAAGGGAGAATTCCCTGCAGTGAGCTGTCTAAACAAGTACTGACGATCTTAATGCAATCATGAATGAAAAAGGTTATTTTGGAACTGGAAGTGTTGGGAAGTTAAAAATTTTGCTTTTCTTCATCATTAATAATACATGTACTTTCTCAGAGAATTTTTATTCAGCAAGAAGCAGTAAACCAAAGCGATTTAAAATGCAGAGTTGAACAAGGCAATTCTTGCTGCTTGGTATGACTGAATAGGAACCTTGAGTTTCGAAGGCGAAGAAGACTGCGAGGACTAGATTTTCTCAATAATTAATGTAACGTGCGCATGAACCAGGCTGAACAAACATAGCATTTCTTGGAAGTATTTTTCACTTGCGGTGGAGGAAATGTTTCCGTTTTAGATGATAAACAACAGTTTCTAGGAACAGTTGAAAATGTATAATGTCCATTTGTGTTGGTGAAACAATATCGATCCCAATTTTAATTTTGTTTCGTATATAATAATTCTGTTTTCTGTTTTGGTTAGAGGAAAAGAACAGAAAACGAAAAAAAAAAAAAACCCTAACCCGCTCTCAAGTAGGTGTTTTACCCTTAGAATTTAAATGGAAAAAACTCTGTCAAATATTAAAATGCTAGACTGAACAAAACAGATAGTATTTCTTGGAGGTGTTTTTCCCTTGCGCGGAGGCAAATGTTTCGGTTTTGGATGATAAACAACAGTTTCTAGGAACAGTTGGTAATGTTTTTAAATGTCCATTGGTGTCAGTAAAACGAGATAGATTCCATTTCGTTTCTTTTTCTGTTTTTCTGTTTTTTTTTTTTTTTTTTCTGGTTAAGGAAAAACAACATAAAAATGAAGATAAAAGAAAATTAATGGACCCCAACTCGGTTCTCAAGTATAGTATTTGCCCTAAATGGAATAAAAATTATCTCGAGTCACGCTAGGCAGAACAAACAGATCGCATTTCTTGGAAGTGTCTTTACCCTGTCGTGACGTAAATGTTTCGGTTTTGGATGACAAAAAATCCCCTCTAGGGAAAAAACCCTGAACAGATTGCCTTTATCCTGAGGCGAATTTATTTTTTATTCAGACCGACTCCAAGACACCAGTGTGAGCGGACGAGAAGCTGGAGGATGGCGCGACACTATCATCGACAAGGGGGTACGTTCAAATTTTAGGTAGAAGACCAGATTTAACCATTTCTTTTCTCTCATGTCTATGTCGGTATATCGTTTGCAAGTGTGCGAAAATATAAAGTGCCTCGTAAAAGTGTATGTATCAAGGAATGTTATCTTGTAATTTATTTAGAAGCGTTTAAGGCCCATGAAGGTCCGCAGCGACCAACTTCAACTTGACTTCAAAAATGGACGTACTCCCTCACAAAACAAGGCACTGTTTGCATTAAAGCATCTAAATACCGTAAAGCAGACCTTTCAGGTGTATAATCCTTGTTCATTGTACGAAAACCCAGATAGCACGCAAACCATATCGGGTAGGAAAGGGTTTTTACTCACGCGGTGATTTCTGAGTGTTTTTTTGTTCGCAAAGAAGCGGAGCTGCGCCTCGCCGATCTTGAAAGTGGATCGTCGCCAGTAGGTTTCTGTGCCATCCTTCGTGGCAGTGTGAACAGGTGTTTATAGAGTCGTTATACCAGGCACAAGTATTTTCTGTATTTTTCATGACAACATACGGATAAACTATCTGGTATGTTGTAGACACAACCTAACTTTAAGTTATTTAAGGTCTTTTGAAAGTTGTAAATATTTATTCATGAACCTCTACTTTTATCACAGATTATAATCCATATGAGGATGAACAGCACAGAATGGAAGTGGACCAAAGTGGCCCTTTTGGGTATCCGCCATACGCCAGCTATCATCCTGATCCAAGAGCACAAACCCTAGCACAGCAACAACAGCAACGCTCATTGCAAAGTAAACCAAATAATGAAGAATTGTGCAATTAATATATTTTCTCTACTTTTGTGGCCAAAACTCACAAAATAATTTTATGCTTTTACCTCAGTCAAAGTTTTTTGTAAAATAGCTGCAAAAATGCCAGTCACTCGTACGCGATTCTCCGCCTTTCTCCTTCTTTTGCTACGCTATACTGATGCTCTGTGATTTATGCAGTTTCGTTCGAATTGAGTTATACCAGATTCTACAATTAACTTGAAATGACCTAATTTTAAGTTTACTTGAGAACGGGAACGGCAAGGCGGTAAATTCCACCATCTCTGTCTGAACTCGGGCGCGGCCCCCTCTCTTCAGCTCCAACATAAATTCCCTTTTTTAAGTAACCCGGCGACTTGGGATAATCGCGAAGTAAAGGATGCGAAGTCTATTTTTCAGAGACGTTTTCATGGACGTCGCCTTTATTTTTCTTCATTTTGAAATGTTACTCTTTCTTTCGCGTTAATTTCCTTTATCCAGTAAATTCGCGTTAATTTTAGTCGCGTTCATTTTCATGCCTTAATTTCATGGAGCGTTAATTTAGAAGGCTGGTATGGCCAGCCGAAATATTGTTACAAAAAACAACACACGTTGTTTTAAATCAGCTTTGCAGTAGTCTTTGGACTTCTCGTTCTTGGTTCCTATAATAAGGTAGCCCATGTATGGGAATACCCTCCCTGGAAGCTCTCCTCGGGTATACCCGTCTCTTACGATCTTATCTAAAAATCAGATACCGTATTTTATAGAGTAGCTAATCGCTAACTTGTACACTTTTGATTTCAGCTAGCGAACAGATGCTCTACGGCATTTACGAAAACACAATGGGCGTGATAGAAGAACTGGAAGCATTCGAAGAACAAGGCCACGGCAAAGTTCTTCCCAAGTCGGGATTACTGGATCATCTTCCTGCGTTTAAAAACAAGGGCTCGCAAAGACCAAAGAGAACCCTACATGATGTGAGTGATCGACAACCTGTTAGATTTAAGCAATAGAAAATGTTTTTGGTGTTTGCATAGCCTGGTATAAACACGAGAGTGGTTGGGAGAATTCGAGACAGTTACGCAAACCCGAGACGAAGTCGAAGGTTTGCATAACTGTCGAGTGTTTATATCACGCTATGAAAACACCGGAAGAAAATTTTCTATTGCTTTTATGAAATAACTTTCCTGAGAAAAAAACGCACAACTCTATGTTATGGCACTGATTAAAAGAGAAGTCTTACACGCGTAATCAGTTCTTGTTTTGCAAAAAGATGCTTTCCAAAATACGGATTTTTCTCGCTTAAAATGTCAGCTTAAGCGAAAAAAAGTTGACACAGCTTGTTTGTAAAGATTTTTCAAGTTTCAGCCGACGAAGGAATGAGTAAATAAAGTAATCTTGTCGAGTTTTGTTCACTAAAACTTTTTCAAATTCGTGCTGGCGTGATTAGCGCGCGAAAAGCAAAACATCTCACGTCACAACCATGCTTACATACTCTCATGCAAACACTCCTCTCAGCCAATCAGAGCGCGCGTATCAGTAGCCTGAGAAAGCAGCCAACATTTTGCGATGCCAGTACTTGTTTTCCCGGGAAATAACGTCTAAGAAACGAGCAGAGAAATTCCATAGTGATGACGCGTCACTACCCAGATCTGGGTAGTTCTTCTGATTGGTAGTGCCGCGAGGGAAATTTGCGTCAACCAATCAGAAGCACGGCGTCATCAGTATAAAAATTCTCCTCTCGTTCCTCAAACGTCTTTTCGCGGGGAAAACAATGGTGGCGATGGACTTTATTTAATCAATTTAATTTTATTTATTCCTCCAATTCCTAGCTGATACATAGTTATGTAA